GGCGCCCGCCCCACGAGGGTTGTAGGCGGGCGGAGGTACGGGGAGGGCGTGGGGATTGGTCCTTGTGATCGTCGTCCCGGCGCTCTCCGGCCTTTCACCGGCAGGACGGCTGGTCACTGGCACGGTCCTGGCCCTGGATAGGGGCTGGGGCGTTTGTCACCGTGTGCTTGGTCCGGTCACGCTGGTCCCTACCCCACTGGTCTAAGTGTGGTAGCTTCCAAAACTTCTGGGCACATTTAGTCCTGCAGTACAACCTACAGCTCCTTCTCGTCTTGCAAAATTTGCTTCAAATAAACCTGTTAGTCTCTGTCATCTTACTACTCATTTTTTTCTCCTCTGCGTCCGCTACATGAGTCAGTGCACACTTTGTTGTATATTCTGATGCATACATTTTTCGCGTTTTCTGAAGTAAACACATTTTTTTCCTTTATACTGGGATTGAACTCAGAGGCCTTCCCACTGAGCTATGTTCTCAACCCTTTTATCATGTATTTCTAATTTTGAGACAGGCTCATGCTGTTGCTGAATTGCCCAGGCTGGGCTCGAATTTACGATCCCGCCTCAGCCTCCCAAAGTACTGGGATTACAGGCTTGTACCACCGTCCTGGTTTACATTTTGGTTTACTTCCTTTCTTTGCCTGTTTTTAAAATTACACCACGTTCTAAATTTTTTTAAGCAAAGCTATCTGTATCGGGCTCCCTCCAAGATGCCAAAAGACTCAGCACTCAGGTATGGGTTGAGACAGCTTCACATCAGCAAGGCCCAAAGCTGACATCTTTTCTTTTCCAGGCCTTAGAACAGTCACAGTGACCAGATGCAAAACAGGACTATTTCAAAATTTCACACACAATTAGTGTTCCAGTCTACAACATACATACTTTTTGGTACCAGGATTCTGCACACCCGGAAAAATAAACGTGACACACGTTTTTACTAAAATGTGAATGTACGGTGTTGTTAAATGTCTTTTAATAAAGTTTTAAAAGGGCTGGGGATGTAACTCAGTGCAAAGGCCCTGGGCTTAACCACCAGTGTGGCCAAAACAAACAAAATAGTTTTCAAAGGTTAACTTGGTAGAAGCCAAATAGTAAACACGGCTCCATTTCTATAGTTGAGCTCTGCAATTTGGTCTCTGAATGGGGTGCTGAGTTTTTGGAGTCATGCACGGGCATGACTAACCTGTGCTCCCTTCACACCAGATGTCCCTGCAGCTCTCAGGTAAACACAAATGACATTTGTTTCCTGTCCTGTACCTGAGTCGGGAGGAGGTTCTTCACAAATTGCGACAATGACAGTGATATTCCAATCTGCTTCCCTGCCTTTTTTAGGAGTGGGGCAATGCGCACCTCTTTCCCCGGTCTCATGCTGTCAAAAGCAACTGAGAAAAAAAGTACACAGTGTGTGCTCAAAGTGGCCTCTTTCACAAAGAGCTAACGCTCAATGGATTTTTTTTTTTTTTTTTTTTTTTAACTGAGGATGGCACTTAGGGACATTTTACCCATCAAACTGCATCATTCTTGGCCCCTCCCTTTTTCAGTTAAATGTTTGTACACAGAACAAAATAAAGCTACCAGTTTCCTAGAGCAGTCTGACTTCCTGGTATTCTATCCTGAGGACAGGGATACAGGAAAATCTGAGTTGACAATGGCCATCCATAGTCTAGGGCCATTTATTTTGGAAATGACTCATAGAAGACAATATTCAACTTAAAGGAAAGAAGCAAGAATGCCAAAGTATCAGGCATTATTTTCCCAGCCAGATTCCTAGTTAGAAATGAGGCAGGAGAGATAAAAAACAAACCAATGAATCAAACAAGTGAAAGTAGCCAAGAAGGTAAGACATTTTATTTTACATACAAAAAAGGGTGCAAACTGAGTCCTGTCCTCCCCAAATTGGGGAAGAGGTATTCTGAAGAGATCACATTTGTGTTTTCCATGGTGCCCTAGGAAATGGGCTACTCTGAGATAATATTATCAGGACCCATTTCCCATTTTCTCCAAAGAAGGCTACTTTCTCTGCAGAGGAGTTTTCCCCTATGGTGTACAAATCTCTCGCCTGGAGGAACCACTTCAAATACATCTGAAAATGACATTCATTTTAAAAAATACTGTAAGTTTCATTTTCACAGCTGAGTTTTGTGACCAGTGCCAGGGTTTATGAAACATTACATATCGTTTCTTTAAAAAGGCATTTAATAATCAAGACACATCCACACATCAAATAAAACTGATTTCCACAGCTGATTTATACATTTTCTAGTTTTTAAAAAATCGCAATCAACATCCCAACATTTTTTTTTTTTTTTTTTTTTGGTACCGGGGATTGAACTTGGGTCCGTGCACTTGCAAGGCAGGTGCCAGAACCATTAGGCTAAATCCTCGGCCCCCCAACATCTTTTTAAGAGTACAATGGGCAAAGATTAAACAGACAAAAAATAATATAATAAACTAGAAGATGTAATATATCCAATGGGAATTGTTGAGTCAACATTACTTTCCATTGGGGGGATTTGTAAGATTTTTGGTATGACCCTTCTCTTCTTCTTCTCTCTCCTTGATGAATGGGGTTCATTCCCACAGCCAGCTTGCTGAGATGCTGATTTGAGAAACTCACCTGTCACTTGTGAAAGGTAAAACTCAGGTACTCCTGGTTCCCTGAAGCCTAGCGTGAGTTTTTATCCAGGTAAAATGTAGAGGAGAGCACACGTGCACGCACACACAATCATACACCCCCATCTGTAAATGTACCCCCTAAAGAAATGGCTCATCTTTCCTGAGACATTCCTGACAGATAATAAGCCTTAAAAAGGCTTTTGGTATAGGGTTGCCTGGAGCTCACGAAGAGGAACACTGAAAATGTCTCACCTACCCTGAAAGAGGAACTTGGGGGTCAGTTATGACAGCAGTCCTCTTGCGACAAATGTCACTGGGATGACTGCATTGCACCTCCCACTTCCTATCATGGAAAATCCTCTGCTGAGAACTTCAAGGGGGCAATGGCACTGGAAGTTATTGTGGGGTGAAAGAGAGAAAAAAAATTCTGTCCACCCAACTGAGGTTTAAAATATCCAGTCTGGTAATCAAACAATATATGAAGTACAATGCTCACTTTTTCCTTTGTAGGATGATCTCAAATACTGGAGTGGGTTTCCTGGTTCATTCTGAGAAAAATGTCAACTATTGTACTATTGTCTCTATTCGGGGACCTACTTAGTATTGCGAATACAATGAGATACTATTCTTTTTGCACTTAATCATGTGCAAAAGGAGTTACGAAAAACATTTGTAAGACTTGTTTGCTGGATCACAGACTCCCAAAACTTGTGGCTAAACATGGTTCAAAATTCTACAAATCCAAGAAGGGCCATGCTTGCTGCTTCTTTTTCTTATATAGAAACAAAAACCACCCCTGACAAATGAACCCCTAAACCCAAATTGATTCTGCCAACCCATTATGGGAAATCTCGGGAGTCACTGACCACTAACCTCTCAATGGAGCTTCCCCGGAGTCTGCAAACCAAGAACACCAAAGGTTAAATGCCTACTTGCAACATGGCCAACATGGGGTACCTGAGGGTCTCTTGGAATTCATCTGTTCACTGTGAGGCAATGGTGGGGCTGGTGGCAGTAGCCTGGAAAAGGCAATGTTGGCTGAATGACCCCATAAACTCCTAATTTGAGAAACTCCAGCCCCAGCATGGCTCCAATTCTGGAGACATTGTCAGGGCAATTTGATGGAAATGGACAACTAGCTTAATATGAACACAGAAGAGGTGGCTGGACACAGGAAGCATGTAGGCTTCAGAAAGATGCATCAGAAAGACCAGTTCCTTTGAAGACATGCTGTCTTATTTTTGAGAAATGCAGGCCATGCTTGTTCAAGAAAAAAACCAAAAACTAGTTAAGGCTATGATCATTAGTAACCACTCTAGTAACTTTACCGCAGTGCGTATTTCTGACAAAGTGGCCACTGAGTAAGCACTACCAGCATGCATTTCCACTGTTAAGTTGGAAGTGACTTTTGGAAGCAATGGACACTGTCTGGCAAAGTGTGGGGAGTTTTTATGTACTTGGAATGAACTGAAAATAAACAGGAATAAAATCACCTAGTCACCTAATACATATTTTCCAAGACCCTCTCTTCCTAGACAGACCCAAAAAATAGTATTAAAGCAGTCACAAGTCCACACTGGCTACTAGTATATTGTCACACGTGGGGAGACATCTGACCAAGCCCTGCAGAGTAAGTGCACAGGCACAAGCGGAGACACTGTATGCCTTGGTGACATCTTGGTCTGCTTGCCTCCATCTACTCAGGCTGCAATATCTGATGGATGGCAGTGCTTGAGAGAACTCCTAATGTCTTAAGAGCTTTTAAAAATGTGAAGATGCTGAATTTGCTTTAAAGGAAAACAATTGCATCGATCCCAAAGAAAGAGATGCTCAGGCATCGTGGCTGTGAGATGGAGAAGGCTCAAAAATGAGACTATGGGTGGAGGGCTGGAGGGAGCACCTGTCCCCCAGGACCTGGCTGGGGCACACATCTGTGCAACAGTAGCAGCAGGGATGAGGATGGAGCCTGATGTGCTGGCAAGGCTGGGACTGATGGTCAAATTGCTCGCGGGGTCCTCAGCTAATTCTGTGGACGAACATAACAGAATTTCTCAGGTCTGGGACCATCCTGGAGTGCCCATGGCCTTGGAAGGTTCACCACTACCCTACGTGCTAAAGGGACCCGGAGCTCTTCACTTTTGCTATAAAAACCAAACATCTAGTAAGAGATTGGGGGTAAGGGGTTGGTGGGTGAGAATAGTGCATTAGGAAGCCACCCCCCAACTGCTCCGGTTCAACCCCTCAAGAGCTTGCCTATAAAAACTGTAAGACAAAAAAGTCACAAACCCATCTGCAAGGCAGCCTGCCCTACAGCTGAGCTGGTCTCTGCTTTTGCTTTTTCGTGGAAGCAGGGTCAGGGAGGCACTTAGTGGGACAGTGAGCCAGGATGCTCCAGGTCTTGCCACCATTTAGCCTGCCCTCCTTTGAAAGGCAAAGCATTTTCTACACAGGGATGAGGAAAGTAAAATTTTACTTAGGAAGTCAGAGTTGCCCAAATGCCAAATGAGGCTATGTAAATTTTGGTGATGGGCTTTATCCACTAGATAATAGGAGAGAAGCTTACCCCAACCGTCAAAGCCCTGGTGGGGAAGGGGTGTGATCCTTGCCCTTCCATGTTTCATATGCTGAAATACTTCTTTTAAAGAAATGGCAGATTTCAGTCTTTATATAAGCTAAGTGCGGCTGAAGCCAGTGAAATGATTTTCCCAAGCCTGGGTCCCAGGGAAGAGGTGAAGTCTGGTATTCCAATTCATGTGAGTGAATTCTCATCCATACAAGGTATGTCATGGGACTTGTCAGGAAATTCCACTTACCAAAATGTATGCCCACCTCCTCCAGCCCAACAGGCAGCCCTGTGCCTCCAGTCAGGGGCAAACATTTCTATTCTCCCCATAGCACCAGACTAAGTCAGCTGTGTCCTGCATAGTTC